TAGCTGTCACCGTACACTGTTTCCTCGCCAAGGTTCGCTTCTGATTGAAACTGCCTTTTGGGAAGTATACGTGATTGTGGAACTGTGGATCGGGGCCAACGTGCCGTTGAATTAGCTGGCGCTTGTTTTATTGACGATGATGTTGCCTAAGAGAGACCGTTTGAGGACGACCGTAAAAGCACTATTGGTGATTTACGAGCGTGAGCGACAAGCTCTAAAGCTCTCCCGGAGGGGGGTTCGGTCCTCGCGCACGCCCCCATGTGGTTGCATCTGTGTAACCACGCCACTCCTGCCCTTGCCCTGGTGCATTCCTCGCACAGCAGTAGTAGGCGATCAGAGTCGGCTTAGACAACGGTACAAGCAATCCCACGGAAAAAGCTGCTTCCCCAACAAACCGGGCAACCTCCAACAGAGCCGCACTGTCCCACTTCCATGCTATTCTCGGGCATCAAATACCTCCGGTGTCTGTAAAAAAAAACACACACACACACACACGCTAAGAAGAGTAGCCTCTCACAGGACCTTTCCACCCAGCAGAGCACAAGCAAGGTCTCGGTGATAATATGATCCTCTAGGACGGAACTGCTGTCATTTTGACGCATTCGTCATTCCAAAACAACATGTCACAATGTTAAACGTCTGGAAATGATAAGAGGATCCGCAGAACCTTGAACCAAACATGAGAACAACTAAACAAATGTCCTCCTTCGAGGGAAAACCCGACGTGCGTGAAAGCATCGCAATGCCCTGTCATAATACTGTAGCTCCACTTCTTGCTGCTGTTTAGCCAAATCTGAAGGAGTCGGAGGGAGTTACAATATTTCCGGAATTACTCCGAATATTTCATCACGTGTGCGATATCTTCGCCAAAAGGGGGAAGGAGTCTCGTCGCTTGCCGCGTCAAGAATCGTTGCACCTCAAACTCATAAAAAAAACATGCATCACCTCCCAATGCCATGGTTGACAGGAATACGCGGACCTTATGAAATCAATCTGAACAAAATCATATGTGGTTGTCCGACGAGCCATGTGGGTTGTTCAACACTTGGCGAGGTCAACAGCAGTCACAAAAAGGCCTCTTTTTTCGTGCCCACGTACAGCAGTAGTTTCCACCCACCCCAGAATCAGCAAAAAAAAAAATCGGTTGGGAAAGCCAAGTCCTTGATTCCCCCGGGAAGCAACTATTTAAGTGGGAACAACCTACTGTATCAAGTAGCTACGGAGCAACTTCCAAGCGAAGTGACTCTTCGCCATGTCCGGGCAGGTATTGCCCCCCCAAGATTTCTTGCTCTGGTGCATCCCTCTCCACAAATAGAAAATGAGTAGATAATTAAAAATAACTGGTGTTGGCGCGTGCTGTTGCGTTTACTGAACGGTTCACCCCCGCGCAACCCCCATGCCGGCAAACGCCTTTGCGTAGAACACAGATCAAAGACTCCCCCCACGTTTGAAACTTCAAAAACACAGCATCCCTCACGGCTCGGGGAGCATTCAACATGTGCGCTTACATTCTGTTCTCGTCCTGCTGTTGCCGCTCACTCCGAAACACACACGCCCCACTGCCCCTGCGCCCCCGTGTGGACTGTTACAGCAACACCCGCGCAGTCGCCCGCAGGTTTCCAGCCAGGGTGCTCCCACCAAAGACTGTATCCCCCCACCATCCATCCCCGCCTCTCGCCCGCGCAACCAGTACTCAAGCCCCACCCCCGTCGCCTGTACGCGCCAAGGCCCGTGCCATCGCCGGCAAATCATCCACGGGCGTGCGCCCCGGAAGCCCATGGAGATCCTACATCACATGGACCGTTCCTCCTTCGACCGCTGCAGGCGTAGATGGCGCAGCAGGACTCGATAACGGTGGGGGCGCGGCCGCGGCGCTCGATGATGCCATAGCCGCCTCGTCGCTGCTCTGCTCAGCCCGTGCCACTCGCGCTTCAGCGGCATCCAACAATTTCTGATATTTCTCCCGCAAAAAGTCCGATGATGCAGAATCGACCTTTGCTTGGAGCCTCTGAACATCGTCGATGAATCCCTCCATGGCAAGGTCCTTCGCTCGGTCCTTCTCTATATCACCGAAAGCAGGTTTGTCTCCCCGTTCTTCCTGCTCCGCTGCTTTGCGCCACAAGGCGATCACTTCCTTCGTGTCGGCTACCAGCTCCGCCCTGTCGTCGGAACCCGTCTTGGGTTTCTTGTGCTTGCGAGAGTTGGTGTTGCCAGAGGAACGGGCGGGTGTCGCCTCACCTCTCCCTCGGACCCCGGGTCCACCCGGCACGCTGCTGCCTGAGCCTGGGTGTCCATCGGGGAGGACGATATCGCCGGGGCGGTATGTCTCGTCGTCGCCTCCGCCGGAGAGCTCGATACCGTCCTCCCAGAGCATTGTCGGTAAAGAGCCCCGCATAAACTGGAACGGATGACGGGCGTTGACGAATCCCCCGTCCTGAGTTGCGTCCGCACCGGCCCCACCACTTCTTTGCTCGTTCTCCTTGAATTTCTGATGTGCCAAGGAGAGAGCGAAGAAACGGTCCACGTTCGTCGGAAATGGGATGGGAACAAAGCCTTGAGTCTTGAGTGGTGAAATCTGATGTCGCTAACAATCTTTTCTGCATTCCACGTGGTACTTGTGTTGGGGCGTCAACGGAAAAAGGGAACGACATACACACAATGGCGCAAGGCAGGACGGGAAAAAAACTTGTTTCACCCAAAAAAACTTGGGGGAGAAGCGCACCCCACGATGATACTGTAGGTTGAGGTCGCGAGGGCCCACAGCTTAAACCCAACACAAGAAGAAATACACACACAAAACGAAGGATGCTCATCACTGGAATATAAAGGCAACCCGTCTACAGTGATGGTTACATCGACCTCACACCTCGCCAAATTTCTAGCTTGACTGCTGATGCACGCACAGATATCCCAAGACGAGCACTGCAGACCGACAAAATACGAAGACGTCCTGCATCCTGTTCCTGCATCCTGTGTAGCCACGGAAGGACGACGCTGCCACCTGCAGAATGAACACTAGAACACCGCTACACTCACCGTGTGCTTGCCCCGTACTTCTTTCAGCCAATTGAAACATCTCAGTTGGAGATCAGCATAAAAGGCGCCCTCATCGCCTTTGAATTTCCCCCTGAGTTCCTCCTGCAGCGACTTAGCCGCCCCCTCTAGGTCCAGCCGCTTGAGGAGAGACTTCAGATGCTCCGATGCGAGCTCGTCTTTGGAGTGATCGTTGGGTACTGAGAGGGGGTTACCGTTGCCGTCGCGCCAGGTGGGAGTCGCCATCGCCCTGGCAACCCGGGCGAAAAACCTGTGCTTCGCGCCCGTCGCCCGTACGTCCAGTTCGGTGCGCGCTGTGCCCTCCCCACCCCCCCTGAAGCACATGTAGTCGTCCTTGAACTCCGGGTGCAAAGTTAGGCACACCAGCCGACAGCATAGTGCCTGGGACGAGTTAGGTGTCGGCTGACCAGTTTGTCGACTACGCCGCAGCTGCTTCTTCTTCTCCGGCGTAACGCCGCAGCGGATGCCTTTCAACTCAGGCTTTACACCAAGACGTGCGCGCCACTTCATGCGACCCGTCAGTGCGTCGATCAACTCCTGTTTGCTTGCATTCGAAATTTGTCGAAGCTCTTGTTCAAGCAGTGGACCAAACTTCAACGCATTCCTCCGGCCAGCCTCCCGCGTGGCCTCCTGCCTCAAACTAGGGAGGGGCCAGCAGTCGAACAAAGGTGGCTCTGTACGAACCTCCTTTCCCGCGGTCGCTGTTGTATCACGAGTTGGGGATGCACGTTGCTCGTTCCCACTACTGGGCCCTTGAGGCGGGGCTGCGCCAGGCGTGGTGGAAGCCGTCGGCCTGATCGTCGCAGCCGATGGCGCTGCCGACGGCGCAGCCGACGGAACAGGTGGTGATGTACTTGCCGGGGTTCCACCGCTGTGCCCTCCAAGTGAGGATTGCCTAGAACCAGGCGTAGTGGACGATGACAGCGGATCTGGGGGTGGGTACACGGGTGCCGCCGCCACCGTAGTAGACAGCGGAGGCGGGGGTATAGCCCCTCGCCCTTGGAGTAGAGAAGGCGGAGGGGGAGGAGACATGGAGCCAGCCGTCACCTAGACGTGTTCAGAGTACAAGGAAAGTGAAGAGGCACGGGAAGGCGACATGTCATGGTTATCCCGTGGCGCGACAAAAACGGCCTCCAATGTTGGCTCCTCGTGAGAGTTCCATGGTAATTGGCCTTTCATTCATGTACGGGCGTGCTACCCCCCAAACACCGCCTTTTTATCCATTGCGGCGCCAACCGTTCGAAATCAACAGATGGTCGATTTCATCATGTCCATCACAAATGCGAAACAAAACACGCTGCTCCCGCCACCACCACCACCACCGACGCAAGTAACATCAAAACGCCCGCGGCAGCAGCAGCCGCGCCATGAACAACACCAGAAACGTTTGGAGGACTGCGATATCCTGTTTTGTTCCCATCCTTTCTAAGAGTCGACGCGCATGTTGATTGACTTTCCTACGAGAGGTCGACTTCCAACGATGCGCCATGTGGAAACTGGTTGTGGGTACAGGCGGAGTCTCGTGGCCGTGGACGATACTGTAGAGGGCGAAAAATACCGTGTCGCATTATGTTTTGATCATAGTTTTTTGTATCGCGTCACGGAACGTGTCCACATACTGTACAGGGGGAATATGCACACCCCGCGCCCAACGATAGCGCCTGCCGTACCCGCGCGTAACCCTTCCCCCCCAAAAAAAATACGGCGTGAGCTGGGGTTCCCGGCTAGCGGCAAGCGTTTCTTGCCGCTGGTGTCCTCTATCTAGCTACAGGTACTTCTGCCCTCCTGCTATCCTCCCACCTGCCCTGAAAGTGCATCCAGCACGCCATCATGCTGTTCACCCGCGTCTGGAGAACACCCATCGCCATCCTCTCCACCAACTTCTACAAGCATAGGATCCTCCACTTTTCGATCCTCCTGCACGATACCACAAAAGCAACCGTGGTCGCGGCGGTGCAAGACGAGAGGT